AGCTGTGAGTAGTAACTGAGAGATGTGGATATGATGATGGGTGTCTTGGCTCTCCCTTACAAATGGTTTGGTCATTTGGGTGGGGGGGTCAGAGTAGAGCTGCTGCTCCGACACATCGAAAGGAGGCAGTTGAGATGGTTCATCCTGGGTGAAGGGTTCTGGCATGTGCTAGGGTGTCTCTGCAAGGTCTTTCAGGTTCCCCCAGGGACTGGGGCCCAGACAAGAGGAAGAAGATGGATGGATGGATGGATGGATGGATGGATGGATGGATGGATGGATGGATGGATGGATGGATGGATTGTGTCTAGATTCACAGCCATATATCCATTTTCTGCTGCTTCTCTGGGTCCAGGTCAAGAGGGCAGCAGCCTAAGCAGAGACATCTAGACCTCCCAATGCCCGATCCCCTCCTGCAACTCTTCTAGGCGTACACTGAACACTCCCAAGCCAGCAGTGAGGTGTAATCTGTTCAGCATGGCTTGACTCTGGCCCAGGGGCCTCTTCCTGGTAGGAGATGCCCAAAATGACTCACTTTGGAGGCTTCAAGGAGGCAGGCTAATTAGATACTCTAACCACCTCAACTACCTCCTGTCGATTTAGAGAAGTTCCAGCTCGAATGATCAAGCTCCTGACCCTCACCTGGGAGAGCCCAGACACCCTTCATCAGAAGCTCAGTTCCTCTACTTGCATCAGCAATTTAATTCTTTCGGTCACTATTTACAGCTCATGGCCATAGCTTAGATCAATCTGTAAATTCACAGTTTTGCTTTTAGGCTCAGCTCTCTCCTGACCACGCAGGACAGTACATCTGAGTCCGTTCAACTACACATGCATTCATTTTTACAGTTGAATTTCCAAATTTCTTAGTATTCAGTTATATAGTTGAATTTAGAGTACTCGATGGCAGCCCTACATGTCCACAGCTTTTGGTTCTGTCTCATCTTTCTCATCACGTTAATATCTGGGTCACTGCTTTCAAAAGAAAAGCCCTTGCAATTTTCCAGCTCTTAATGACTAAAAGACTAACTTAGCAAATACCTGGTAAATGTAGTGGAACATTAAGCAGCTAAAAAACATTTTGTCTCCAGACAATAACAGCACTAAAGACAGCCTGAGTGCTGAACTTGATTTTAACTTGTCAATAACATGTTAAAAGCTTGTTCCCCACACCCCCAGAAATTATTGGATGACCTTTCTTGAACATTATTAGGAATCTTGAAGCCTTCTAACTGTTTTCTTGGCTATACTTTAGACTATATTCTGCTTCTAAACAGCTTCTTTAAATGTGCTTAAACCAGCCCTCCCACAAAGTAGATGTTTTAAGTCCAAATAAGTCACTTTCTACAACCTGACTGTTAACTGTGTGTTCTACGAGTTAACAGCTGGAACCTGAGGGCACTGAAAAGAGAGAAACCACATGGATGAGTGGTGAATGGCTTGATGAGAAACATTTCCAGCTTTTCTGTTGCATTTCCGTTTTGATTCATGCCCAAGTAAAGTGAAAAACACACATTAAATAAATGTTATCTTTCAGTATCTGAGCTAAGCTGGGTTCAGACATGCTACAGTCCTGGCAAGCACGTCTTGATAGCTCGCTTCTCACGTCACTGTTACCACTGAAGCCAATTATTGAATTTGCCAAAAATATGCTGAGAGAGGAGGTTTGAGGAGCTGTGAATGTATAATGAAGATGATGCATGAATAAATAAATAACCATCATAAGGTTTTATGATCAATATAATGCAGCTGTAGTTTGGTCAAACAAGCCTGCTGTCTAATGTGAGTGCAAGGTGAGGGAATAGCAGCCCTCAGCACATGCTTCAAAGCCCTACCCAGACACTTTTTTTTTTTTAGCCGGGCTTAATACACACATACACATAGTGAGTGTAGATCAGCCCTCAGTCACAGCCCTGTGCTTCAGGGAGACCGGAGTGATGGAAGCAATAGTTAAGCCATTAAGGCAAACAATTGGCTCAAATTGAGAGGGAGGGAGAGAGAAAAGAAGAGCAAGAAGAGGGAAAGAGGGAGGGAGATGGAGAGTCTATGGCAGGAGTGGATCCACTCAACGACTTAATCCGAGCCCCAGGACACTCTCCTGCTAAGCTTCACACACTTTCACAAACATCTACACACACACACACACTATAAAGCTCTGCCTGCCTCCAATAACACCTTGTCAGTCTTGGCCACAGGGGCGATGGAAGAGCCGCTCATTCCTTTATAGTTAGCAGAGGCACCTACTTCCAACCACCTAAGGGAAAGACGGAGCGTGCAATCTACACAAGACAGCTCTGTGAGCATTCGTACACCTTATGGCTGCTGGTGTGAAGCTATTCATTGTCTTAGCAGGCAGAGTGAATGGTGGAAGGAGCACAGGGTGGACAGTGTCCTGGACGAGGGAGGCGATCCTCTGACACCGGCTATTGTATCGTCTCCCCCCTTGGCCTTGCTCAGTCCCCCAAGCCTCACATAAACAGCTAACAATGAGGGATTGTCTCCAGTCTATTCCCCCTCTTTCTGCTCTTTAGCTTTCACACACACATCAGCTTTGTGTGTGTGTGTCAGAGGGCGAAGGCATGATGTGCTGCAGTCTGAACCCAGCGACCACGGCAGCTTGTCCGATGCAGTCGTCTTCGCCGTTTATGTGGCTAAATATCAGCCGGTGATAGGGCCAGTCAGCTACTTGCTACCACCGCCGCCCTTCCCTCCCTTCTTTCCTCCCCCCCTGCCGTCAGCTACCACCCTTGGGGCTCGTGCAGTACCCAGGCCCGAGCGATTTATCGGACAGCTTAGCGAGGAGCGGTTATTGCCCAGAGGACTGTTAGCACGGGCTTGGCTCGTTGACTCCTTCTCCATTTCTGGCGTTTTATTTGACATGTCCTTTATGTCCTTTAAAGAATTGGGCGTTTCTGCCGAGCGCCTTGGCTCTTTCTGCAAAAGATGGATGGCCCGCGTTCAAAGGTCTGGATGTTTTCTTTCCTCTCCCTCAATCTCTCTCTTTCCCCCTCCCTCCTTCCTTCAACTCTTTCTCCTTTCGCTCTCGCTGAGCTTTATAGGGTGGTATTAGCGTTGTCAGCTAACCAAGCTCAGGATTTGGCTTTGTTTTGTTTTTGCCTCTTAAGATAATGCTTTTTCACTCTCCTGCTGAGAACAACAAAAGGAAGAGAAGAGCAATAAAACAGCACAGCCATTGACTTTGGTTTCATTAAACTGGTTTTCAGCCGTCTTCAATAGACCACAGGCCTTGATGGCGCTTGCGTGTATGTAAGAGGTTGTTTGCAGCCATGTGTGTGTGATTATCGTCAAAACACAGCCACACTTAGGCTCGTGCGTACTCAGGTGCCGCTCTCATCTCTGTCATGGCCTTACTGCTGAAAGGTGCTGAAAGTTATTCACCTTCATTGGTGCATAATTAAATAAATAAATAACAGAGAGAGGAGCCACGAGTGTGTTTTGTGACGATAAGTGTTGTTGCTCTGCAGTGAAAGGGCGGGAAAGCACTTCAACTCCTTTTCGTATGCATTCCAGATGTGGAGATATATAAGCAGACCGGTCGGCGTGTAAGCATCTGTGTCCTGTTAGAGGCGGCCTGGAGGTTTACTGTACTGGCTCTGCAGCCTAATCCCTCACACAAAACCTCGCATTACCACGCCGCACGCTGTTTACCCCGCATCCAGCGAGGCGTGCGAACACGCACAAACATTCACACATGCATCACGGCGCACATATATTCGCACAGAGTGTCTCCTCTGTCGGCTACAGCTCGGTCTTGTGTCGGCAAGTGCAGTGGAAAAAAAAAGACGTACTTTGTATGCTGCTTTTGCTGTTGCGCTGTAAAATAAAATCTGAGTTCACCTCAGTCCTTCAGTGTGGATTTACTGACATCCCATATAGATCCATCGCTACATCTCCGCTATCAAAAATCCACACTTAGCATCACAGTGAAATGTCAGTTTGCTGATGTGTCAGGTCAGTGTATATAAAAATTGCCGGCTTCGGGGATATCAGGCTGTAAAACCTAAATTGAAAGCTGTCTCGCCCCGCTGTAAGGAGCTGCGAAGGCACCCAAGAGAATTTTATTAGTGTGGCTCTCACTGAGTTTCAGTGTCCTTGTGACGTTTCTAAAGGCTGTTTTAGAGCCTTTTCCATAGTGTTATGAATGAAAACCTGGGAGGGCATTTTTTGAAGTTAAATTCATTTTTTGCACAATATTGGTTCCAAGGTTCTAATTTAAGATATTTTATTATTTCCTCCTTTTTCATGTGTGTGTCTGCTGAAAGCTCAGTATCTTCTCTTATAGTGGCTTTGAAATGCTTCAGAATTCATGATATTCTACTTTTAGAGATGTTTAAGCTTTCAAATCACTTTAACCCATTAGGATCTTGGCCATTTTATTCTATGTCTACTCTATTAGATACTGCAGTATGCAAAAACCAATATATATGTGTGCGGATGACTAGTTTTAAAAACCCCCCACAAGGTTACAATACACTGGGCTGACTGAGAAAATCAGTTGTGAAGCTGAAAATCAAGGCAACAAAGACTGATTTTTATGCTGCTGCGTAAATTTTAGTTTCTGCTGAATTTTGGGGAGCAAATTTGAAACGTGTAATTGTGCTGTGTGCAGAAACGATACACTCAACCTTTAGGTTATTTATTTTAACACAAGGGAAATTTCCATGAGCAAGCCAGAGCACGGTTTGGATATTTGGTCTTTTGAAATTGAAACTGCGGGGTAACGCTGTTCTGCCAGTGAAAACTGCTTTTAAGTTTTCAAATTTAGCTTCAGGTCAAGTTTGTTTGTGTCTAAGTGTGTTTACGGGTGTGTAGTTTTAGTTCGAGATTCCTACGATAATCAAAAAGATTAGGAAAATGCTTAAAAGCATTGTAGATCCAGTTTAAATCACATAACATGAACACAGAGACCCTGATTCTTAAGCTGTTAGTGATATTGGTTTGTCTGTGATGTTCTAATGTCCCGCCTTTTGTCTCTTCAACAGTAACGGCACGGCCGGAAAAATGAACGGGGCGCTGGAGCATTCGGACCAGCCAGACCCGGACGCCATCAAGATGTTTGTGGGCCAGATTCCACGCTCCTGGTCAGAGAAGGAGCTGAAGGAGCTATTCGAACCGTATGGAGCCGTCTACCAGATCAACATCCTCCGAGATCGCAGCCAGAACCCTCCACAGAGCAAAGGTACTAACCAACACGGTTACACAGTACTTAGAGGTGATGTGTTCATTCATTCATGTATGGTTGTCTGCTATAGTTTCTCTTCCTTCTTACCTATGTTTCTCTCCTTTCTTTCTCATGATGAAGAAAATAAATCATAAAAATATCAACAAACGTTTATGCAAATACAATGATACAGTAGCCTAAGTTATGATAATGAATCGAGGTACTTTGGTCCCTTTTCTTGGGGAGTCAAGTGCTCCTGTTTTGTCAAAGCTGCTGGTGTCTCAGAGATAAGCCCAAGGTGTCCTTTGGCCTTGGTGCCATGACTCAGGAGCCCTTGGCATCACATTAAAACCCACCAGAGTACAATTAAGCATCATTTTCAATGTTTTCAGTAGAGACAAATTAACAAAAAGATGTTATAATAGTGTTAGGATTATGATAGGGTTAGAATTACAATCATCAGTGATTATATCAGAGGGTTAATACACACCAGATCACAAGTGACCTGCTTAGGGTTAGGGTCATCATTAATGATGACTTAGACCTCAGAGGGTTAAAGCAGCACTGCTAGCTCTCGGCATTACAGACTATATGAAAGATGGGAAGACCCTCTATGTCTGAAAATTGAAGCTGCTGCTGAAGTGCCATAAATCTGCATTTTATTTAATAGCCAGACTTGCTAATCAAGCTAACTAGCATTAGCTTATAAATTAGCATGCTTCTGTATCCAATTAAGGTCATTTGTGGCTCAAACAAGATGGGAACAGCCCTCATGCTTAACTTGAGAATTGAACATTACATTGTGTAAATTGTAGTCAGGCTGTAGTCAGCCTAAGAAGGTCAGAAACATTAAATTTATAACATATGTGAAAGGCTGTTTGTCTACTGATCACCTCAGATGACAATGTCAGGTGACATCTGGTCTATTTACTCTGAAAGAGGCTGTAAAACTTTGGGAAAGAGTCCATTACAGATCAGTGAGTTAGAGAATCTCGCTTCTGATCGATGATAATGAAACTAAGTTGAAGACTGAACCTTTCTGTCAGTAAGTCTTGTTTTAGCTGCTATTAGCCTCTGTTAGCTGCTTTAGCCAGCGTTAGATCAACTTTTTTTGAAGTGGATCTAACATTTTTGGACTCTTAGCAGATAATCTCTTGCAAAATATGAGCGTTAAATCAAACAATTTATCAGAGGGAAAGCGTGATTTTTAGGATACGCAAGCTTAATATTAGCTATTGTTAGCTGTCCGAAGATGGGAAGGTCGCAAATCTAGTCTGCTGATAATAAGTAATTAAAACAATATCAGGGATAGATAAGCAAATGTCTCTTCTCCTCCACCTTAGGTGTTTTATTTATGTGGCAGATCTCCAGCCAATCATATGGGAGATGTCGTTTCAGGCCACTGTATTCAAATGCGGTGGAGAACATGGAACACAAACCACAAACCTGCTCCTTTGTATTTAATTAAAAATTTGGATTAATTAAAAATTAATTAGAAATTTATGAGAACATATCAGTTTCTTGGAAGATATAATTACACAATACAATTAGTATACAATACAATTAGTAATTACAATTAGTAATCTATGTATATTTATGAGTATAATACCCTTTTTTTCTAAGTAAATAATACAAAAAAAATACTGAGTACACCTTTAAAGCAGGATTTCACAAACTTGGTTAGTCAGTAGAAATCTGTGGGCAGTCAACTATCTGCTCATTTTTTCTATGACCTCTCAAAACACTTCCCTGATGATGTTATGGCTTGAGTTGCTATTTTCAAGTCATGACTAATTTAAAAAGGATAAACCAGGCTATTCTCATGGACTGGTGGCTTGCCGATCACAAATCAATAGCCAATGAGATTGCATTTTAGCCAGATGTGACCCTTTGCTGGTCACATCTGGTGTTAAAACACCAAGAGTGGACACTACGACAATGCTCAGCTCAGGGCTTTACTTCAGGACTTCACATCAGATGGTCACATCCATCTTTTATAGATCTTTTATATGCCATCTATGCTTGTCATCAAGTACTCCCATATGGAAAAGATATATATAAATCTTATAAAGTTTTTATCTGTCTTGTATGAAACTTGTATGAAAAGCATACAAGAGTGAAAACACATATAAGATCCCTTGAAAAATTATATAATGAAACTTGTATGTTTTGTATACTTACTAAAAAAATATATGAAAGTAATGAGAAAGTGGCCACTTTCATGAGTAAATCATATATGTTTTTACTATTTCTTTTCCATATGGGCTGCTCCAACACCAAAGGACAGTTTGTCCGTATCTGAAGCCAACAGCTTCTGACAAAAACGTCACTTTTTAACGCTCTGCTATGAGAATGCGTAGGATACCCATACAGAAAACACAAACACTTAACTGTATGTACACTTCTACCCACACAGAGGCACATAGACTATCAGTGGTTGAGGACCGTCCCACCTATTTAATGGCAGAACAAGTGATGCATGTGCAACATTACACAAGCAAACACGTATTTCGTGCACCATTTGAAGACAAAGACTCGCCTTGCCAGACTTACACAGTCAATTGTTCGAAACTGCATGATTTGCAGCTATTTTCTCCCATTCCCTTTTCTTTTTCCTTTGATGAATTCATCAAGTGTGAGAGCAAACAATAGAGACAGCAGCCACAAACGGGCAGACAATAGCGTTGCCATATTAACAGCCATCAACCAGAGTGGGGGTTGATGACACTCCTGATGAGACATGGAGAGTGGGAGGAAAGTAAAGAGAGAGGCAGTGAGGACGGCAGGAAGGGAGAGGTGGCGTTTCCACCCGACTGGAAAGCAAATTTTGAAGAGAAGTTTCAAAGTGTCACTTGAAACAAGATCGGAATCAAGAGGGATGAAGTGTGAATAAAGCCAGTAAACACTTTCCTGCAAGAAAAATGAAGTCAAGGAGTTTTCATTTCTGGGCCAGCTGATGCTTGCTATAGATGTCTTGAAATGCGGTGATATATTACAAAGTAAAGCTCTGTATTACATTTAAAAACTTCTCATTTGGCTTGTCGGATGCTTTGAGAAGGAAACATATTTGACCTAATACCAGGGAAAATAACAGTGTTATTTACACGGAAATCATAAGAATAAGATCTGACCTCTTGGTTTTGGTGTGTGGAGCTTATTATTTTCAATACTTCCCGTGCTTCATGTTGCCACAGTGACGTCACCCGTTTAAGTCTTACTGACCAAAATTAGTTTTGCATTTTTGGAGCGATTAATGTACAGCGAGCAATATTGTTAGTTTAATAAGGCTTTCAAAAGTGTTGCAAACATGAACACATACAAGAGATCCAGTTCACTGACTATGAAATAGCTGATTTGATGCCGAGCAAACAGCTAGCAGCCATAGTCAAATCGTCCATGGGCAAAATAATGAAGATGTTAAGACTTGATGTAATTTAAACTGTCAACTTATATAAATATTTAATACTTTTTTTTACTGTCTGGCTCTAAAAATGTTTATTTTTTTTCTTTAAAGTCACATTTTATTATTGAAGATGATGAGGATTGACTCATTTTTACAGGCAGCTGCAAGTGCCTCTTTGTGGAACTACATGTTTGTGGTAGAAAGAAATGCAGATCAGTGCATGAACGTGTGCATTTTGTAAACATATTCAGTCGGTCGAAATGACATAAAACGTTGCACTTTATGCAAATGCACCTGGGTAGACTCGCATGAGACCCATGTCCCCAAATAGTCCTGAGAGTTCCTGCTTATACGCTGCAAGGGAAATTTAGAGTGCAAATCAGTGTTGAGTAGAGATGCTCACCTCGTGCTCACTCCTGTTTTTATATGGGTGATTTTCATATTGCAATTTTTAGAACAGATTTTTTTTTTTGAATAATAGTTAAGTAGGAATTAGTGATTTAAACTCCGAAGGCTATTAACTACCAGGTAAATGCGGTAATTGTGCACTACTAATTTTCTGCATACTGAAAACTTTGTAGTGTTTTGCTGGGTAATGATCGCCTGGTTAATTATTATTGAAAATCTAGTCTATTCTAAATTTATCATAGGAAATTACAGTAACTGGCTGTCCAACCTGTAGCATTCTGTAAATTTTAATCAGAAATCTTAAACTTTATGATATATATATATTATATGATATATTATATATTATATTATATATATATATATATATATATATATATATATAGAATATTTCATGATGAAAGGCTCGTAGTTATATATATATCTATATAATATATAATTAATTTCCTCTTTCTTGTGTCTTAATGACCTTGAGGCTGATTTCAAAATGTATTCTCATTAACTCACATTATTCATATAATTGTATTGAAACATTTGTTCCTCCAATGAGTGTAAAAAATGTGGGGCGATTAAAAGCTGTCCTCCTGTTGAGTGTATACTTTTAAAAGATGTGATGTCATCCACCTTTCTGCAGCTACACCCTCCACCTCACCTCTGTTTTTAGTTCTTCTCTCTCTGATTTTCCTCGTTTTTGGCTTCCTCTCATTCTGACTGAGTCACACAAGCTTATGAAAGCCTGGAGACAGCGTTCTGCCAAATCAACGCATTTCTGCACACCAACACACTTGTCATGTGCTTTGCATTTGTGTGTCCTTAGCCTTGAAATGACTCCTTTTCTCCCCACTAGCCTCTCCTCGCTCTCCTTGTTCCCTCTGATATCTCTGAGGGGTGGACGGGGGCCACAGTTCCCCCTCATGTCCTTCAGCTCCTTCACATCTCCTTCTCCATCTTCACTACCCTTGAAATGAGTTGTTTTTGCGGCTGATGAGTCAAAAGTATCGCTCAACGGGAGAAAGCAAAGCCACCTAGCATGCCTTTCATTTTTTTCTACTCAACATGACAATCTCTGTCCATATGCCTCATTTTTATTTATTTATTTTTTAACAGTCTCCTTTTTTGTGGAGTGCATTAAGAGGAAATGTAGCGTTTGATTGGGCTCTTACTGGCCTTGTTATTCGCAGGCTCTGAGCGCTGTTGTTGTTTTCTCATA